ATCGAAGAAAAAAAAAACAAGTTAAAAAAAACATTCATAACGATTAAGTTGCAATACAACGACTTTTTTTTCATGAAACGCAAAACAATCTGTCATAAGACACATAGCTAATCAAAGCCAATAAGACTGAATCCAATATAACTTCCATTGAGCTAAATTTCGATTTTGGCTTATACTATTCTGTTAGAGTAAAACACATTGTTTATTCGTTTAGTTTACCTTTGGAGTTAGAAGGACACGGACCRATTGCGATTTCTCCTGCTTTTGTTTCTGGCCACCATATATGTTTGTGGTCCTCTCTCAAGCATGTTCCTACACCGTTTGTTGCTATCTTTGGGCTTGGTGTATTTTTATGCATGGAATTCGATATGGTGGGTTTTGTAAATTTCGTTTTTCTCTTGGTTTTGTGATATTTTTCTCCTGGAGGCTTTCTCGATGATGTTACTTTTAAAGTTGAAGATTGTTGCTCATTATAGCTGACAGTGGTTTTTGGCGTTGGATTCGTGTGTTTTGCAGTTGACTGTAGTGCTGGTCTGGATGTCTGGCCGTTGATGAAGCTCGCTATTGTGGTTGTTGCAGTTGTTGCTGAAATGACTGGAAGTGATTTTRAGCTAATATGTGCTGTATGGGATGGAGTAGGGTTTAGGTTTGAAGAATAAGTAACATTTTTACCAGTCGATTGTTGTGTTGGTTTTTCATTTGAATTTATTGTTGTTGAAACTGTTGCAGCAGCCGTTGTTRATTTAGACGTTTTCGGGTTTTTTTGTCTACGAGAAGACCTTTTACCTCTTTTTCTAAACAAAAATGGACGTCTAGTAGGTTTAAAAATCATTTTCTTTGTAGTTGCTGCTATTTTTCCTTTATAAAATGGAGATARAGTTTCATCCTCTTCATTTTTTATGGTTGGTTGTGCTTCTGAAACGTTCTTAGGTTTGGAGTCAGTAGGGCATGGATTATAGCACTGGCTTATAAGTGTCCGTGACATTTCTTTCTCTGGGCAAGATGGTATGATGCATGTTCTAGTTTTATGCTTGACGCCCATACCACATGACACAGAGCAGCTTGACCAGATACTCCACCCGAGTTCTGAAATATARTTATTAAAAGTCAAATCAACATACGAAGCGTCGATAACTCTGAAAAAAAAATGAAATAGAAATTGTGCAAAGTATTTAAATACTTAGAAGCAATGACAAGAATAAACGTCACTGTCTGTGAATAGCCTTAGAGATCCCTCAAAATCTTCATGCATTTTCAGGGCAATTTCGCTAGTGCCTAGCCACATTTTATTCACACTACGTGGCTTCGTTATGCAGTTCGTATGCTAGTCACCCATCGTGCCCTTCCTCGCCAATGAATGAGTTTCCAGTAATTTGATCCCTCCCCAGGCGTAATGCATGCATGGATTGCCAAGGGGCAAACAAAGCGACACCTACTTCAGGGGATATAGACGTTTTTTACGCCGTTTTACGGGATATTATTAGGAGGAAGTTGTACAATCTGGATACGTAAGTTTTTAACGATATATGTAAAATTATAGGCGAAAAACTCGATTTTCTTTCGCAATTCGCAGTGTGCAATATACACAGTAACACTTCGCTCACGACTTGAAATAGTGAGTTTTTTGTCAAGATAAATGCATGGTTACTCAATAAAATCGTTCTACACATATGCTACACAAATGTCTATTACATGCAATTTCGTTTTACTTTCAGCACTTTAAGAGATCCCATGATGTTAGGTAGTGAAACCAAAGCTCTTGATGAACTTTTTGTATATAACTCGACTCCTCTCTCCAAAGATGG